GCTGTATCTCTAATTAAACCTCTGTAACATTGCTCTGCTTCACTTCAGCACCATCAGGTAATGTTCATATGTTGATTCATGTTTTGTTTTTTTTGTTTTTTTGTTCCATTGCAGAATATTTTTAGGGCTATCTACTATAAAAAGCCAGGCCGGGAAAATCTCCTTCATGTTTTTCTGTGTTTTATCCTCAGTTACTTTAACACAAAGGCATCTGCTGTGGTGCTTACACCTCTGATGAAGTCTCACAAGTGTCAGAACTGATAAATGGTCAGAATTATAATATTTCTGTCTGACTAACTTGAATCAAATCGATATATATCTATATATATCTACATATCTATATATATCTATATATAGATGTATATAGATATATAGACAATTAATGAGTTTCTCATAGGTTCCACAATCATGGCAGATCTAGTAAAGAAAATATCGAATCAAAACCTTGTGAAGTTAGTCATGTCCATTCTTAAAAATTATAAACTCGGGCTGGGTATTGTTACTGATTTCTAGAATCGATTCGATTCAGATTCACAAGTCTAATTTCCCTGTTGCAACTTCAACAGGGAAATTAGAATTGCTATCAGATTTACTTCTCTAATCAAAAGTAGGGACACAGGGAATCTGACTGTTATACAGATTAGCAGAAGATTAAGATCATTTATTCAAATAAAAGTATCAAAAGAAATTTAAAAAATACTCTGTAACAAGAATTAAATTAATTTAAAATCTTACTTAAATACCAGTTCAAAAGTAGGCAGTCACGGCACAAAGCTAAAATAGAGCATCCCAGGTTTGAGTCTGTGTAAATTGTAAATGGCCTGTATTTGTATAGCGTCCCCCCTATAGGGACCCCAAAGCGCTTTACACACCCAGTCATCCACCCATTCACACACACATTCACACACTGGTGGAGGCAAGCTACAGTTGTAGTTGCAGTTGTAGTTGTAGAACTGCAGTTAAAATCAGATTCTTATCTACTGCCATTATCACATCAAAGCTTTACCAGAACATATGGGTTTCAGCTCATCTTCACATTTTGGCCTGAATGACTAGAGCGTTCCTTTCACCATGAAACATTGCGGCAGGAAAATATAAACAGTAAACTTTTTTTTTTGTCATGCATGCATCAACATAGATAAAGTAGTCAAATACAGTCACTTCAGCCATCCAAAAATCTGTAGATGCTTGGCTGGAAGTTATAACATGTTTGGAGACAAATCTTTATAAATTTCAGTACAATGGTCAAAGTGTTCATGCAGCGTTTGGCAGCAGCTAAAAGCAGCCGAACAGAATTGTTCATTAATCACATGTGTTTTACCACTGTGATGTTCAAACTATTATATAGAATTTAGTGACTACTGGAGTTTAAAAGCTGCTGCCATGGTAAGTTGGCAGCAGCAGACCCCAAAAGTCCAAAGTAAGAGTTTACATTAAATAAAATGCAACTGTCTACTTTGGTACAACTCACCACCATTTTAATGTGTCAGTCAAGAAATTGTTTGCCTCACTAATGGGCAGCACCTGTAGCTTATTTGCTTCCACCCCTTATATACTCAAGGTATGGTAGCTGGAGGTCCAAAACAAATGGGTCCTGCATAAAGCAGTAATGTTTCTCCATATCACACAACACAACACAACACACAAGCATAACTTAAACATGACTATGTTAGAAAATGAGTTGGGCACTGATGGAATCATAGCTAGAAGATAGCCCTGGTATTAAAATCTGGCTGCAAATGACACCTTTCATATATTTTAACTTGCATTGACCAAACACCTGCATTTGATATGATCCTTTGAACTTTTAAAGTTTTCTCCAGTGAATTGAAATCATTTAATGCTTTTATGGTAATGTTTGTCAAGTGCACTAAACTTGGATCACATTTAAGAGCCAAACTATCACATATTGATGCTCAGTTGGTTATTAAAACGTCACACTGAACAAAAAGAATTATATTTTAATCGGTTTTAGATTGCGACTCTTCGTGGGTCAGCAGCACTTCTGCACTAAAATGTTAAAATAGATATCTCCTGTAGTTGTCTTTGATTCCAGCTGAAAATAAAATGAACACATTTGAAAATTTTAAATGTTCTGTTATATTTCTAATTCATATTATTTCCTTTGCTGCTAAAAGGCGTATCCTAATAAAATCACCTTGTTTTACCTATTCCCACCAGTTTAGTGAAAACATTTTGGTGGTTACAGTCACAAATCCCTGAATGGACTGGAACTGCATTAAATAAAGAAAAAAGAACGAATAGAGAAAATATATCATACTGCATGCATTGACTTGAAAAGGGAAAAAATATATATATTTCTATTATCTGGCAAATATGTCCAAATTCAAAACTTGGCATGTTGGAGATACATGTTGTGATTTTTAAAAGATCCGTTAGGAGACAAATGTTGAAGTAAATATTGACTCAGTCTTGTGACTCGTGAATTTCCCCCCAATGCCTCAGGTATGTTTGTTTGTCCTTCTTTTCTGTGTTATTTCTAACGGGCACGCTTCATTTTTTTGTCATTGTTGATCCAGATATGGACTGAGAATAATGTTTTATAACGGTTTATCACAACTATATTCCTCTGAGAGGTCAGCAACATATAATGACACAAGGTTTGAATAGATTAGCCTTAAATCTTTTGTATCTTGTTGGGCAATGAATAAAGACATTATCAGTCAAATTTGCATTTTTTCACATCCCTGTCAGGACAATGAAAAACAGAAATGATTGTGTTGCACAAGCAGTCATCTCCTAACTTCTGACTATGCTTCCCGTAGTTCTTTGGTGTAGAGCCCTGAAAATTGTTCTACACAATATACACAATTATGTAATGGCAAAAAGATAATTGTTTGTATTCCTCTCTGAGCCTTGTGTGCTTAGTGTAGCTGTATAGAAGCTGATGCTGCCATTAAAGTCTGACTTCCCTGCAAATCAGGGACAGGGGAATCAGTATCGATGTCCTGATTTTACAGGATGAACAAAGAGTAATCTGCACCACACAAAAGTTTAATGAAAGACGGTTTTTGGTGACAAGGTTTACAAACATAAAAAAGTCTTTTGACTTTAATTTCAGAGACAGGGCAACACTTTTCAGATGTCCCATGTTTTTTTGAACCCCTCAGGCACATTGTTCATGTATTTGTCCATTGTGGTGGTTGGAAGTGGGAAAAACGAGCTCCTTCACTTGTTTTTAGGCTATGTATGATTTTTTAAATGTCTTAATGGTCTTGGGCCTTCTTATCTCTCAGATCTGCTTTTACCATATGAACCCTCGTGGACCTTGAGGTCCTACTGACCTTTTGATTGTCCCTAAACTCAGGACAAGACAAGGCAGGCAAAAAAATGATTCGTTAAACATGTTTGTGGGTTTTACAGTAAAAAATATAAATGTTTTCTACTCGGATTTTGAATTTTTTGTCTGAATTTCCCTTGTCCCTTTTTTGTCTGAATCAACTGTGCTAATATAGTATGCCAAAATGAAAAAAGAACTCAAATTTCAGATATTTGAGATTGTGCTGAAAATAATGATACCAAACAAGGCAAGAAAAACATATTTTAAAGGTGAAATATAGAGGTAAAATCAAAAGTAGTCAAAAACGGCCAATTATACCCTGGACCCCAAACATGTAACCAAAATTGGATTTTATCATCTAAAAAATATAGCCAGAGTCCGCCCTATTCTCTATCGGGCCAACACGGAGATGCTGATGCATGTTTTTATTACCAGTCGCATTGATTACTGTAATGCCCTGCTCTCTGGTCTCCCCAAAAAGAATATTTCACCTTTACAACTTTTACAAAACTCTGCAGCTCGTGTGCTGACGAAGACCAGAGGGCGGGCCAACATTACACCGGTTTTAGAATCGCTGCATTGGCTCCCCGTGTGTTTCAGGATCGATTTTAAAGTTATTTTATTGGTTTTTAAATGTCTTAATGGTCTTGGGCCTTCTTATCTCTCAGATCTGCTTTTACCATATGAACCCTCGCGGACCTTGAGGTCCTCTGGTACTGGCCTTTTGACTGTCCCTAAAGTCAGGACACATACTCACGGAGAGGCAGCTTTTCATATGGTCCTCGTTTGTGGAACAGCCTGCCGGAGGAGCTCAGGGCCGCAGAAAACGTACATGTTTTTAAGAACAGGCTCAAGACCCACCTTTTTAATTTAGCTTTTACCTAACGTTTATTTATTTTATGCTTATTTATCCTGTTATTCTATTTATATTATTAATTTAGGTTTTACCTAATATTTATTGATTTTATTCTTATTCATTTGTTATCGTCTTACTCTATTTATATTTATATTGTATCCCATTCTTATTTATTTAATCTTTTTATTCTGTATATACTCTTATTAGGTCATATCTCCAGTGTTTCCTCGGAGGGGGCTCCCTGCACCGGGGCTGTGATCGACCGTGGCCGCTAGGGCTCTGTGGGTCCTCTCAGCCTGGCTGGGGGGCTTCTTTGCCTCCCTCCTGCTGCATGCCCAGCCTGGAGGCTGCGGTCTGCGACCGGCTCCCGGTGCAGATGGCTCCCTGTGATAGTGTTTCCTCACCTGGCTCATGTGTGCCCAGCCCAATTTTACTCTTTAAGTGTGTGTGTGTGTGTGTGTGTGTG